AGCCACATGTGTCAAACAAATTCTGCCATTCTTCTTGTCTCTACCAATCTCCATTCCCAAAATACGTTTGGCCTCACCCAAGTCCTTCATCTCAAACTCATTTGAAAGCTGAACTTTCAACTCATCTATAGTCGACCTGGAAGTAGAGGCAACCGACATGTCATCGACATAAAATAACAAATAGATGTACGCACCTCCTCTCAACTTGCGAAAATACACGCAATGATCAAACTGGCTCCGAGTGTACGAATGACCAGGCATAAAACTATCAAATCGCTTATACCACTGTCAAGGAGAATGCTTCAAACCGTATAGCGATTTCTTTAATCTGCAAACCAACTTATCTTTCCCTGCAGCTCAGAATCCCAATGGCCGAGTCATATATATTTCTTCATCAAGATCACCATGAAAAAATATCATCTTCACATCCAACTGATCTAACTCTAATCCATACTGTGCCACCAAAGATAGCAGAATCTGAATCGAAGAATGCTTCACCACCGGAGAGAAAACCTCATTATAGTCAATACCTTCCTCCTGTGCATAGCCCTTCGCAACCAACCTAGCTTTGAACCTCAATGGAGTGTCCTCAATACCCTCCTTCTTCGTGTACACCCACTTGCACCCAATTGGCTTCCGCCCCTTTGGAAGCTCAACAAGCTCCCATGTATCGTTCTTATGAAGAGACTCCATCTCTTCTTGCATAGTTACCTGCCACGAATCAGCCTCTGAACTCTGCTCGGCCTCTCTGAAAGTAGTAGGTATCATCTCATTGATACTCTCTACCGGAAGTGCATATGCAACTGTGTCGGCATACCGTGCTGGCAGTCGTATGTCTCTCCTCTGTTCGAACCGCAATAGAATCCTGAACCTGAGTCGTCGGTCCTTGATCCTGCACTTGAGTACCCGTATCCTCCACATAACCATCGTGCTCGCCTGAGGTCACCTCAGTCGGCACTCTAATGGATACTGCACCATCTGGACACTGTGGAGCTGCATCAATCTCCACCGCACTCTAATGGATACTGCACCATCTGGACACTGTGGAGCTGCATCAATCTCCACCACCTGCGATATCTTATTTGTCGGGTCACTCTCCACCTGATGAGAGATGAGAAGCTTCAAGATAGAAGCCTCATCGAATGTGACGTCCCTACTCAGCACAATCTTCTTATCAACTGAAGCCTCATCGAATGTGACGTCCCTACTCAGCACAATCTTCTTATCAACTGGATTCCAAAGCTTGTATCACTTGACACCACGCTTGAATCCTACAAATATGGTCTTCCTAGCTCAAGGTTCCAACTTAACAGTTCTAACATGATAATATGCAGGGCAACCAAATACCTTAAGCTGGTCATAGTCATGTGCTGTCTCTCTCGACCACATCTCCATAGGGGTCTTTCTCTCAATCGCAAATGAAGGCAGCCTATTAATGATGTGGCTCGCATATGAAAGTGCCTCAGCCCAAAAGATCTTATCTAAACCACTATGCGCTAATAAATATCGAATCTTCTCTAACAAAGACCGATTTAACCTCTCTGCCACCCCATTTGCTGCGGTGTATGACTAACTATGAAGTACCTCTCTATGCCCTCGTTTCGATATAGTTGCTGAAAAAGGTCTGAAGTATACTCGCCGTCGTTGTCGGATCGTAACGTCTTGATCTTTCTCTCAGTCTGCAGTTCCAATCTCTTCTTCCACTCCACAAATAAATCTAGGACTTTATTCTTATGCTTCATGGTGTACACCCAACAACGCCTAGAATAGTCATCAACAAACGTGACGAACCAATATCGACCACCAAGTGATACAGTCTTAGTATGACCCCAAACATCTGTGTGCATGTAGTCTAGGATGCCCCTCGTCTGATGAATGACAGACCCGAACTTCACCTTCGTCTTCTTTCCAAGAACATAGTGCTCACAGAACTCAATCTTCCCACTCTTGGCTCCCTTCAATAGCACCTGCTTGCACAATACCTGCTGTGACTTTTCACCTGTGTGTCTTAACCTATAGTGCCAAAGTCTGCTCATGTCCGCTTCTAAAATAGCCGAAGCAACCTGACCAATCTCGGTGCTCTCCTTCAGATAGTATAAATTTTAATTGCGGACTCCCTTCATCACCACCAAAGATCCCTTAGTAAACTTCGCTACAGTGTTTTCAAAAGTCACCTTGAATCCCTTCGCCTCCAAAGCTCCAACTGAGATAAGATTCTTCTTCAGCTGAGGAACAAATCTCACCTCCTTCAACTCACAGACTACTCCATCGTGCATCCGAATCCTCACAGTACCTATCCCACAAATGCCATAGGATTGATAATTTCCCATGACAACAACACCCCCGTCGAGTCTCTCAAACGATGAAAACCAATCTCGCCTAGGAGTCACATGATAAGTAGCGCCAGAATCAAGCATCCAATCCGATGCATCCAAATGGTTTACCTCCAGAGTAATCAAAAGAGAAAAGCTTGAATCATCAGAATCATCGCCTTTCGCAACATTCACATCATTGGCCTTCGGGCCCTTTTTTATTGATATTCTCATTTTCCTTGACCTTTGGGCAGTCTCTCTTCCAATGTCCTAGTTCCTTGCAGAACACACACTGGTTCTTAGCTAGCTGACAACGACCTCTTGTCTTTGACCTTCCTCGATTACCACCTTTCGGATATGGGCTTCTACCTCTCGTCGACAAGGCCTCTCCTAAAGTACTAGCGCGGGAAGTCTCCTTATCCTTCCTCCTCAAATCGTAGTTCGTCAATGCGTTAGTCACTTCACTATAAGTGATAGAAGATCTCCCGTTCAGCAAAGTAAGCACGAAGGTATCATACTCCTCATCCGGTAAGGAGCCCAAAAGAATAATAGCCTTGTACTCATCCGTGATCTTCTCATCCACGTTCGCCAAGTCCGACAACAACTTAGTATAGTTGTTCACATGATCCACAAGCGAGGTGCATCGGGACATCTGGAATCTGAATAACCTACGCAGCAAATGTAACCTGTTCTCAACACTCTTCGTAAGATACTTATTGTTGAGAATTTCCCACATCTTCATCGCAGACGTCACCCCAATCACATCATATTTCAGCTCCTGTTCTAAACAGGACCTGATCACCCCATAAGTGTTCTTATTCATCTTTTCCCATACCGCCTCTTCATATTTAGGTGGCCTCACATCAACCATGATGGTCTCCTCCAAATTTTGAGCATTGAGCATATCCTGTACGTCACTCATCCACAAACCAAAATTGATTTTGCCGTCATATTTTACTACACTAATCTTAGTGTTCTGAAAACCCACTTGAACTGTATCCATCATCTTGCTGCTTTCACCATCTTCTTCACCCATAATCAAAAAGTCTAAATTGCAAAGAAAGATTCAAACTTTATAGAATTTAGAAGTTACCCAACTGAACGTTAGATTGGATTCCAAATAGAACTCCTAACCACACGAGGAAAGCGAGATCTTCAACGGCAACTTCAAACTCTAACTCCACCGAAGCCTAGAACTCTAAGAACCAAGCTTCCAACTGAATCTTCCTCCACCTAATCCAAAATCCTAGATCTGAAATCTAAGCTCTGATACCACTTGTTGCGCGCCGTGCGGAAGCGTGCTCGACAACCAAACGAGTCGGTGAGCAATGAGAGAAGAAAACCAAAACCAAACACGAGTGCAATTCACAAAATAACGACCAAAATCACACACAAACACAGGAATTTACGTGGTTCGTCAATTGCCTACGTCCACGGGGAGAGGATGGGGAGATTTCACTATATGGAGGAGAAATACAACGAGTTACAACTCACAAAATCACTCAAATATAACCCTAACCAAAGCTCTCAACTCCCTCACAATATTTCCCTCTCAAAGTGCTCAAAACAATGCTAATTCTCTCCTTTAGAAACCCTAAAAAACGTGATTCTATTTATAACAAAACACAATCCCAAATAGATTAGGATTCTAAAAACGAGTCTGCCACACCCTGGTGTGGCACACACCACACCTATGACAAACAAGACAGATTCTGCCACACCAGGGTGTGGCAGACACCACACCCATAGCAAACAGTGCAGATTCTGCCACACCAGAGTGTGGTGGAGTCTGTTTTGCTTATTCTTCATGTTTTTCTCAATTCCTTCGCCGTTTTCACAAAGACCTATGCTGGAACTCTGACCTATGATTGCAACTGCCGACCAAGGTTAAGGATCATCTACTTTAAAAAACCTAAGCTAATTACCTACTGTTTATGACATCTTTTATCAAGAATCTGACTAAGGCATTGGTTTTTTTTTTGTTGGGGTGGGGTGGGGGGAGAGGGAGGGGGAGATGTTGGTGGACAGTTCATAATTGTCCATCTGACGTTTTTTCTGTGATCTCAGGCCAAGCCAAGTAGACTCAACCACACGTAGCCTAGACCGAGGACCCGAGGACCTACTTTTGTCATCTAAAGTTGGTTAAGGGACTCTAATTGATAGAGTCCAATCTCACAGACTTCAATCTGGTAAGTTGGTTTCATGCATTAGCACTTTGAACGTGAGTTCTATTTCATCAGTGAGCTATATCTTATTAAACTTTTCAGCATTAAAATTATAAGAAATCCGAGATTTAATAAGGGCTATGACCTACAATAGGCCATCTGTCAGAACAACTATGGGGCAGGGCATGTTATATCTCCAACTACATATAATAAAATACTACAAATTTGTAACTAAACCTTATAAACAAACTTATAAGAAAATAGATGATACTAGGTATGAGTTGGTATAATGAGCTGCCAGCTTACTGTCATGTGAGCCCCACCCGATGTGACTAGCAAGAGGGCTCACATCGCATTGAGCTGACAACCCATTTTGTAAAGTGGGTTGTCGGCTCCTATACAAATTTTTAAAGTAACATTATATTTATCGACAATGCTAAATTTGCATCCTATTTCTTAACGGGTCGGATCACTAACGGGCTATCGGGCTCGCTCACAGACTATAAAAACCTAGCTCCAATAGAAACATTAGGGACGACCCGCTGACCAATCCGCTCTCTCTCCTCATCGTTTTCCTCCTCCTCTCCCTACCAGGTACGTTCCCAATGCGCAATGAGATCTAGGGTTTCTAAAATCTTCAGTATGGATTTTGGTACCAAATTCTGTAGGAATTACCATCTGAGCTGTAATCATAGTATCGATCGGCTAGAAACTTGCTTGGGCTTTTGATGAAGTTTCTAATCTTTGATATTTTGCTCTAAACCCTTCAATTATTAATGTACTGTACTGAATTTTGGCATTTGGTTCCTCTAACTTATTAAAATTTTGAATCTTTTGTGAGTTGATTTGCACTGACGATAACTCTGATTGGGAATTTTGTGCTGTTGAGTTGGGTTAATTGGAACGGGAAGACTGTTAGGGTTTTAGGAGAAAAGAAAAGATTTTGGCTGATAAGTTTATGGGGGTGTGATGTAGTTTATCAAGTACTTGTCTTTAAGCCCCCATATAGAAATTTTGCATAAATGAAATAGCCCTAACGTTATATGAGACGAACAAGAGATAACAAATGATAATAAAGAAGGAAGAGCAATGTTTTAATGTGTTATAGTTTTAGCAGGGTTTCAAACATCGTATATCGGGGATTTATCGGATGGTCAAAATCCATATCGGATAGCAGAAATCGGGGATAATTAGTATTTATCGGAGTGTCATATTAAAGGGTGTGCATGCATAATATAATGTCATAAAATATAATCTAGAATAAAATACAAGCAAATAACAAGATAAATAAACCAACTGTAGAAACTTAATGAAATATAAACATACTAAAATGTAAATGCACATATTTAAGATCGCTAAGCAAATGTAAGTACACATGTTTACGATCACTAACAGATAATTCCGATAATTTTTACTGCTAAACTCGGCTGATTTATTGGTTTATCGCACTTTTTCGCATGTAATTACCCCCCCAACCCCAAAACGACAAACCGATTAAAATTTGAACTTTTTATGTCAGAAGGGCCCCAAAACCGATAAATTGTCGATAATTTTGATTTATTGGCTGATATTTAAAACCTTGAGTTTTAGTGCCATATAGTTGTTTTGCGGGGAACCAATCCTGTAAAATGTCCATTGAGGCTTGACTTGGTGGTAGATGGGGTTGGATTACTTGAGGTTTTAGGTTCAAATTTGGGTTAGGATCATTTTTTTATGAAAATGCAAAAGGAAGGATATTTAAAATCTAGTTGTATAGTCAGTCATCTAGGTTGGTTGTTGGAGGGTATTAATATTCCATTATAAATTTTCAGGCTCCATCATTTTTGTTCCATCTCGCTACCAATGTTTGAACATTTGATAAAATAATTTTGATGACCTATGTTCAATTATTCTTTGATTCCATCACTTTGGTGCATGTGTGTTATGTCCAGATGACTGAGAAAACCATTATGATTATCCTGTTAATCAATATGTTAGTTTTTTTAATATTCCTGTTTATGTGGTTTAGATGCAGTTTGGGTCACATGTGGCTATACTCTTGATCTCTTTAGACCTTTGAAATTTGTCGGCTTTATCTAGTTGCTTGTTCTTTATCTTAAGCTCACGTGTGGTTGAACAATTCTCACTTTTGTTTGATAATCAAGGGAAAAAACATTAAACTGCAATTTGAAGGTTGTAAATTGTAACAGTACAGGCATAAGGCAGGTCACAGTGTCTTAAGGTATATGGATCCACTGCTAACTACATTCTTTGCAGCCTATTACATAGTAGTTAGATAAAGCTTAGATAAAAGTAACTGATAATCTGATATTTGTGTTGGATGACGTTATTAACTGAGAATTAATAAAATTCTGTCCCACCAACAAACAACAGTCAATGATGGATTCTTTTTTTTTCTTTTTTCTTTCTTTTGTGTGTGTGTGTGTGGGGGGGTGGGGTGGGGGTGGGGGCGAGTTGATAAGAGCTTCAAAGAGTTTCTTAGCAAGCTGAGAGGGAGGTGTAGTTTGGCAATTGCTAAGGTCAGTGGTAATTCATGTCCACAGTTAGTGGTAATTCACAATAAGGTATATGCTTGATTGTTCGAGATGACCTCAAACTGAATTAACCATTAACTTCATATTTATGTGCACATTTGTTTCAAGTTCTCCTTTTGACCTCCTAATGTGATGCTTAAGAAGATTGTCATACTTAGCTCCTCCAATGCTGCAACACGAAGGCGAGGTTCTTCTGCTGTTTTTTCCTTTTACAATGTATGATATACTTAAAAGTTACCAAGCAAGGAGTTTGTACGTCTGACCCCGTGGCTGTTGTGCTTTATTTCATAAGAATTGATGTTGGCAACTCGACTGTTCTGGCTTTTTGGTGAAGGTTAAATGATTTAGTCTGTGATGAACATCCAGAAAAGAGTAATTTTCTGCTCTTGCTTGATTGCAGGAAAGATCCCATAGCCAGAGATTCCTGGGAGCAGGTTTTTGTGATGGTCAGAGAAAGGATTAAGAGGACTGGGGATGCTGCTAATGCAGAAGCATCAAAACAATCACGATCGGAGACAAAAACTCCAAAAGCGTTGAAGCCTGAAACCAAAATTGTAAAGAAAACACCTAATCAGAGTAGCGAAAGAAATCCTCACAAGGCCAAAAATGTAGATAAAAACCAAGAAAAGAATAAAAAGGAAAGGGATTATAACCAGGTAGAGGACCAAGAGAAAATTGATGGGATGATATTCATGTGCAATGCTAAGACCAAATCAGATTGTTTCAGCTACATGGTCATGGGTCTTCCACACGGCAAGAGAGATACTGTGGTTAAGATCAAGCCTGGTTTCAAGCTCTTCCTCTATGATTTTGATGCGAAGCTTTTATATGGGATTTATGAAGCAACATCAGCAGGAGGAGTAAAACTTGAGCCAGCTGCCTTTGGTGGGTCCTATCCTGCACAGGTGCTACTTTAAATATTGCAGAATTTCATGTTTTCCTTTTCCAATCTAGAAGTCATTATAGCTGTCCATTTTTCTTATGACTTTTAATTTCTACATAACTTTGTGGCTCCTAAACTTGTAACAAATTTGAAACTTTTACCAGGTTCGTTTCAAGGTTCACATGGAATGTGTGCCTATTTCAGAGGCAACCTTCAAGAAGGCAATCATGGGCAATTCTGGTGGCGATAAGATTAAGTTTGACTCAGAACTCACCACCAAGCAAGTGAGTAATTTTATCCTAACATTATTAGTGAGTTAAATTTCAACTTAAACCACCTGAGCTTGAGGGGTTTTGTACATAACCCCACTGAATATTGTTTATTTCACGTAACCCCCATGAATTTGGAAGTTTTCTCAACTGATCCCCCCGATGTCATTGCCCATTAATGAGGAAATGATGAAAATTCCCTTTTGGAAAGGAAAGGGGACTAAGGGGAATTTTTCGTCCTTTTATGTCGTGTGCTTGGCATGTAAGGCGTCAAATTTGGCCCTTTTTTTGTTTTG